CGCATTGTACACAGACTCGTACAATCCCTCCAGCACCGTTTGATTTAACCACGGACGTTGATGTCTGCACCCGAGAAAGAGCAGCGTCTAGTGTTCCCTTTGCAAGAGGACTGACCGTATCCTTTCCTTCATAGTTCCTCCATTGTTCGAGAGAGACAACACCTTTCTCGTGAAGCATGCGTGCAACTTTTTCCATATCCACTTCCTTCATTACAGCCCTCCCCATCTTCAAATAACGAACCGTTGTCTTCATTCCGTTCAGTACTCTCGCATCGTGGATATACTCCGTGGGTTCATTAAAAAACTCCTCCAGCAAAACACTCCGATTGGTGTCCACAATGCCCTTGCCTTCCATTTCCAGCAGAAGAAAATCATTCAGCTTTATGTCCTTGACGCGGACTCCTCCTTGAAAAAGCACATCTTCGATATTAGTGGACATGGTAAATTTCATTTCTGCCTCACGCCGTCTTACCCTTTCCTCTGCCTCCTGCCTCACTCTTGCTTCCGCCTCTCGTATTAATTTTTCTTCCTCCCGCTTCGCTCTTTCGTCTGCCTCCCGCCTTTCTTCTTTCTGTATCTCAGCGAGTAGTCCGTTTAGCTTTCCACTTGCAAGAGGAGTGAGCGTATCCCTTCCTTCATATTCCCTCCATTGCCAGAGAAAATACACACCCTCGCGACGAAGTTTATAAATAGCCTCCAATAGTATTTTCCTTTCCTCCTGCTCTCTTTTCAGCTCTCTTTCCAGCTCTTGGTATGACGGCGATGCCGTTATTAAGCCCAATATTTCACTGTCGTTAATAAACATCGTGGGTCTCAACACAAACATCCCCATCGTGACGTTCCCATTTCTTTCCACAACCCACTCCTCGCCCAAGTTGCTCCGGAGGAAATCGTTCAGCTTCATTTCGGTCCTGTTAGTGCTTCCCTCCAGCAGGATGTCCTCTACGGTGCTGCTCATGGTCCACTGTGGTCGATAAATTCCCTCCAATCTTCTGCGAGTCGTAGAGGAGTAATCTGTGTCACCCTCAAATTCCGACCTCGTTCTCCTCCGACCTCCCTGCGAGACATTGGACGATTGACTCTCCAAATTGCCGTAAAGTCCTTCCTCGGGCCTTCCAGACATCGTTTCTCCTTGCTTTCTTAGTTAGTTTGAGTTAGATCTAAACAATAGCCACCAAACAAAAAAGAGGAATGAGAAAAAAAAGACAACAGACACAGTCATGAATCGAGGCCACAACAAGAGACTCACCCACACAGTGTGACGGCGCAGTATTCGATAAAAACCATATGCACGGAGACCACCACAACGATATATGGATGCCATCCACCCAGCACAGTGTTGGAGAGAGCCAACAACAACAGCGTGGTGCGCACGGAGGGTTCGTCCACGCATACCGCTCGCCACGGTTCCGCACCCGTGTGGCACCGCCGACACCGCACACACTCTGCAAGAGGGCGTGGGCACATCGCCACGGGCACAAACCCACAGAAACAAGTGGGAAGTGTATTCGGTGCAGCAACAGCCACATGCAAGAACCCCAAATCGTAAACTCCACCAACAGCGATGCATCATGGTAATCCCCCACAGAACAAAAAAGAGTGCAACTTGCATGCTTTATGGAAAATATCTGCGGTGTGCATGGCAAAAGAGTGCCGTGACGCTGCCTTTCATATTTCATTCACCATTCACGTATCACTTGGAAGCACGCAGCCACCACTCCTCCGTTCCACTCCCCGTGCTGCTCGTGTCGCTCCACTGGAGGAAGTTGTCACCGCACATCCCCATCACCGTGCATTGCGGAATACAAACCTACCACACGGCATGGGTGCGGTGCCACCCCGCCAATAAATCCCAGGAAACTCCCCACTGCCTTGTGTGGCACGGACGGCAGCAGTCTCATGATGCCTGCGAAAGGCTTTTTTCCCAAACAAGAACGCGGCCGCACCACACGCCCGTAAAACCGTTTGGTCCTTCGCACGCAAAGGACTGGAGCGAGAGAACAGCAGGAAAGACAACACCGGCAGCCATGAGCAGCCCGCACACGCAAACACACCGCTGCCCCGCATATCACCAAAAATAAAAATACCAAAGAAACATGTCACATCCCAACTACAAATCGCAGGTGCGGTTGCAGCACACACTCCCACCTCCTGGGCGTGTGCGGCCCCTCGCTGCTCGGCGCTCCAAGTGAAATCACCAAAAGCACCAATTCGGGAACATTCGACCACCGCCACAGCAGTCACGCTCCCCATTTCTCACAAAGGCGAAGGCTTGCAGTGGCGCAGCGGACGGCGGCACGCACAGTCGCAGGGTAATGGACTGCCGCGGGAAGCACGCAACGGCGATGCGCCCCTCCTTTTGGGAAACCCAACAAAAACATGTGTCGCGCAGTCCCCGTGAGCAACACACATTGAACCGTATTCAGCTCCACTACTGTGGCCATCCGCATACACAGCATGACTGCGGCAACGCAGGCCAGGAAGCACGAAATAACACCACGCATCACTCCAATAAAGGTCAGGCGGTGTCCGTGCTGCCCTCAACAATAATTCCACCCCACATCACCCCTCTGCATATCCGCAGCAAAAAGGCCCACACGGTATACACTACATTAGAGGCTCCTAAAGCGCAAAAACGGATCATCAGAGCGCTGCCCTCTTCTCAATGTTAGGTAGAGGCTCTCTGATCCTTGTCGCCGCCAGCCTGCGGTGTTATGGAGAGGCATTACGTTCTCGGCATATCTCTCCATTTTCCCTCGCTGTCCCGACGCCGCAAATTAAGTGACGTCCCACAAGTGATTCCGGACGGTCTGAAGAACGTGACGTATCAGGCGCGCTGAAACTGTGTGCGTATGTGTTATTACGGGCGAGCGACACAATGCTCTTGCACATCCATGTATTCCGATCCTGCGCAACACCATATTCGGTGGTGCTGAAAGCGTTGGACACCAAACACGCACCAATCGCACAATGAATGCCTCTGGAGAACAAACCCCCCCATTAACGTCACCGCAGGCACCGTGACAACAAAGTAACAAAAGAAATCCAACCTCTGCGCGTCCTCCCGTAAGAAGGTGAAGACACACACGCTTGTCCCCTTGGCCTCACTCCAATTGCTCAAAAGTTGATGGGTCCGTGGCAGGAGGAATCACGCTACTCATCCCTCGCTCCCTGTCACGAGGCATGGCATTGCGCATATCCAATGCATCTGCATCACCCACATGCGTCCCTTTGGGGCCATCGCCTCGGTAGTCACCAAGCACGCGCCGCTAGAAAGTGTACTCCCAGTCTATGCTGCATCTCCTGAGCGACCTGCTACCTTGCCGCACAAACAAGTCCACAATTTACGCATTATGACTGCAGACACGTGCCCGTGGGAATTCTCGCCCTTTCCCTCAGCCTTGCAAAGTGCGTGCGCCATACAAATGCCGGTCATAGGGCACACACACACAGGCGCCGATACCCGTGACAGTGCGTGAGATACTCGCCGCAGAATGAGGTGCCGCAGGTCTCCGCTCACTGATCCAGATTGACCACGCTGAAGCCCACGATTCCCGGGGTTGGCATCCCGATAGTTCGTCGTGGTTCGTTGACTCCCATGGTGGAGGAGTGCCAAGCAAGCAAAAATCAAGAGCCTGGACACTCTGTGGAGCCAAAAAGATAGAAAACGCGGGCTGGCGCGGGCACAGCTAAGCGCCATGGGAGAAACATCTCAGCTCATCCCATGGAAAACACTTCACCAACGTCATTGCAACATTGGCCTCTTGCTTCGTGGGTGTGTCACTTCTCTCTTCACTCCGTGCCAGCCTCCGTCCAATTCTCCGCCCAGCAGCACTACAAGTCACACTGCGCTGCTTCCGCACAATCACACTCCGCGGCCAATCAGCGTGACGCACTTCCAACTGCAGTCGCATCCAACCTCAAAAGCCCTCGCACCCTCTTCCGCCCTCCTGTGTGTCGAGAGAAGACGCCTCTCTCGCGGTCTTCGCGTCCTCCCCAATAAAGCTCCGCAGTTCTGCCCAAACATCACCGGGTCTCTTGTCAAGAAGGAAAACGTGTGCGACGTGACCAATGTGAGCATACACAAATTTAAAACACGGTTTATAGGCTCTCTGGAGTGCCCTGCGTGCGCCCGCATGCACGATGGGAACACACACGGTGCGAGTCGGGCGAGATCATCGTTCCAGCTCGCATCTCCGCCAGGTGAGTCATTGACGGCTCCATCCCGCTTCAAGACAGGTCAAACAACAGTGCACAAGTAAGTGCTTCGTGCTCTGCATTCACATGTGGTCCGCCTTTTGGGTCCAACGTCGTCAGGTGGTGGAAAGAGAAGAGTCGCATTATCATTCTTCCATTTGCTGCTGCTGCCGCCTCATTTCCCGTAAGGAGCCGCTGATCCCTCTCTCTTTGGCGATAAAGGGTCCTCACGCATGAGATGTGTCCTGCCTCGTGTGGCATGAGAAACGCCAGAGAGTCCCCAACGTTGCCAATGCGGGATTGACCGTCCAGTGCGGTGAGTACAACACGCTGGATCTGTCGGAGGATCGTCGTGCACACTTCAGTCCGCCCGTGGCGGATACAATCCTCGGGCAGCCACACCTGTGCAAAACAGAACACCCTTCTGGAGAACGCCGAGCAGCTCCACCGACGTGTTGGAAAAACCCACAAAAAGAGGTCCGGTCAACCTGCGGCACATTACCGTGCAACTTTAATACCTTGACATCGAGAAGAGCGTTTCTACCTGAGAGTGTTCGCCCCCATCATTATCACTGCTCAAATCATCTCAACAGGCAACAATGGCATCGCTCTCGTATTGCCCATGCCCGTTGGCCTCCTCCACCCGCCGCCTCACGTCCGTATGAATAAAGTCTCGTCATGCACAGCGATGCGCCCCCTCGTTTCAGACAAATACCAATATTTTATAGTCACCAAGGTAGCAGTTCAGTTCTCCCTCCACAGGCACACCTCATAGAGGACGTCCTTCTGTTCCCTTTGCCGAATCAACGCACTGCACCCAGTGGATAAGCCCTGGTAGTTCCACCAAAAAATAAGTGTTCGATTCCCACAGTAGCGAATACTCTGTATGTTGTGAAACGCACAGTTTATTGTGCTAGTGCACCGCCTCGACGGTCGCCTCGCAATGGTGCAAAGATGTCATTGCCCCTGCCTGGGTGAGGCCTAAGCCCCACATTACACGCACACAGAGAAGCACACGGCGCATTTGAAAATATATTAATAATTTTTTCACGGCACATCTATGGGAAGGAGCACCACCGTATGCATGTTGGCAAAGCAATGGCCCCACAACGGCGGTGCTAAAAACACGCATCCAGAAACGGAGGAAAAAGAAGAAGGGTGTGGAACACCCGCAAGAAATGATGGATAGCCCATTTAAACCGGCAGCAAAGAAAAGGAAAGAAGCAGCAGTAGTAGTAGTGGTGGTGACCATCATCTCCCTTTTTCTTCACTCGCTAATGACCCAAACACGTGGGGTTCAAAAGTCCTCTTCACACAAAATTGTGCGGCAGTTAGCCTCTCTCCAACCAGCCGCCTCAATACATCCAAAAGAGCACACAAGAAAACCACAAATAGCCATGGGAAAAGAAAGAAAAACAATAAAAGATCCCACGGCATTAGTACGGAGGCGGGGCGACACGCTTTTCGCACAACTAGTCGTAAAGTCGGCCAGAGCAAAAGAGATCCAGGCCCGAGCAAACTCGGACGCCACAGGCGGTTATTGTGCTCCGTTGAGACTTTTCAGCCAGCTCCTGTTCCACCCGAAGGAAGAGAGCTGGCGGAATGTGATCCTCGCCGCAAAGAGTTGCTGCATCGGGGGCCAAAGAAACAAATCCTCGCATATTAAGGATGTCAAGTGGACCACACCACCGCATTTCCACGTCATTATCGCTCGGCTGCGCACGTACGTCTCTTCACGTACCCCGTCGTCCCTCAGGAAGCCTTTCCGCAGGAGTCCTCAAATGCAGTGGACGCTTGAGAGCAACAAGCCAAGCCTCGCAGTCGCTGTCAGTCTCACAAACTACCTCCAATGATTTCCCACCGCGAAGTAAAAGTGCGAATGCGCGGTGGTTGTTTGTTCCAAGGCTGGATGGAGTGATGTTTTGC